TTCTGTCACCAACATGTCTGGAGCTGGCCTTCATCTCACCCTCGACCGTCTCCTGACCTCATTCCACCATCAATCCAAGGTCGCATCAAAGGTTGCTGGAGCCTTGGCTTGGTCAAGTCACCTCGCCAGCCAACCATCTCCAGCTGCGCATCAGACATGGCCTGGCTCGGCAGCACCTCGTACTGGACCTGCCAAGTCGGAAAAACGAGGCCGACCATCGACCGTGAGGACGAGGAGAGCACTCTCCGGCCTTTCCTTGAATGGTCTTGGACTTGGCAGCAGCACCCTGGCGTGTGATCTGCTCGCGCAATCTAAAGGTTTGCTGAGGTTGAAGAAGTGAGCTGATTGAGAAGTGTCCAAAAGAATGGCGACTCAAGCAAGCAGAACGGACAGAACCAGGACAGTCTTGTTAAGCACAAGGACAGTCGCCCTCACCGACCTGACTCTTTTGGGCCCCCAAAACGCCTTCCAAGCTTCCCAATCCAAGGTGCACCAAGCACGCCACCCGTCGCCCTGCCAGAGACCTCGGGTATGCCGCCCAGTCTCAGGTCACCCAGTCTCAGCGCCCGAAACACCAAAAGATTCCTTACAAACCAGAAATTGGTCTCAGCATTGTCATGTGTCCGGGTTTCTTACGCCAAACGCCAAAGGGTAAACCCTCTGAAGACCCCCCAAGCGCGCCGACGAGGCAACGCCCCAAAACTGCCCCACCTGCGAAGCGCGTCTCGTTGCCATCATCGCCCAGGATCTCCAGGCCCGGCAAGTACGTGGACCTGCCAGCCCCACGGTCGCGGTCGCGGGCAAAGGCAACTGGATACCGCAAGAAGTGTCTTAAGAAGTGTCAAAAAACATCCAATACCGCAAGAAATATCCAGACTCATCTGGTTTTTGTTCTGTTTTGTGGGATTGGTCGTTCATGTTCAAATTAACTGACCGGACCACCGGAGAATGTACATGGCAGTGAGCATTGGGGGAGTCATCCGTGGTAAAACACAGCCTATGAAACGCACCAGCTACTGGTTTTTTTCCACAGCTACGGAGCACTCCTCAAAACGGATGGAGCGCTCCCAAGCACTCAGCAGGCCTCAACTTCATCATATTGCCACCTAGCCTTAGCGAAGTTGCAGTCAACCGAAGTTGCAGCACAAACCAACTCCTCGGTGTCGCCATTCTTTGGTATCTTCAAGCGCTGCTTCAGCGCATCTGGAGTCCTCTTCACCAGACCGCTTCTGGTGGCTCCGCTTTCTGGGTCGCCAAACCAGAAATCACTTCGAATCACCCTGAAAAGACCCTGTCCACTCCCCATGTTTCAACACAGCTGTGCTTCTTGAGCTGCCAAATGGTCCCTCCGTCGCTCCCCCTTTTCGGCCTCCCGGCGCGGTGCCCTCCATGGGCTCGGCTTCGGCCTCGAGCCCCAACTTCTCCAGGAAGCTCGGGGAGACCAGGTTTGTGGAGAGCCCACTGTCCAGCATGAAAGTGGCCTGACAAACCGAAAACCACCAGCGCGACGGTGGAAAATGGTCCCGTTTCCGAGGAGGCGCCCTCTTTTAGACAAGCCTCTGATGTTTCTTGAACCCGGTCCAGAAGAAGCGTCCCAACTGGGGTTCTGTGAGGCATCGGTCTGAGTTTGTCCGATGTCCATCACTCGACAGCATCCAACTCTATACCATGGATAGATCGCTACTTCGAAACGGCAAAAACGGATTGAAGAAGGTGAACTGAACTCCCTGCACCTCTACAGGTGCGCCTTCCTTGGTCAGGACCCTGCAGTCAGGAGGTGCAGATGAAAGGCAAACGCAAAACTACTTGTTCAAGAACGGCCCAGCCTCACATCAACCAAATCATAGCCAGAGCCCACTAGCGCAGCATCACTAAATTCCTGGGGACGGGTGCCAAACTGGTCTTCAATCACCCAACTGGCTCAAAATCTTCTGATTATTGGGTACTGCCTCCCACTTCAAAATCTTCAGAAGCCCACAAGCCCCAAACCCCCACGTTGAAGACGTTGGCCAATGCCCAAAAATCATCGAAGCCGCCAAGACACCAGCCGCCGAATCTCCGTTGAAAAGCTAGCGACAGCCTCAAACGCAGCAGAGGGTATCAGGTCAAGCCAGCTGAGTCTACAATCCGTTCCTCAGCTTTGGAGTCTCTGGTGCTTGCACTCGAAAGAATGCCTTTTTGTTGGCCTACGGTCCATTGTGAGTCCAAGTCTTTTAGAAGCAAATTACACCACCGTAGACCCCAAACAGTTTGTGTTTTTCAAAATCGAAACTAGAGCTTGCGACGTCCAGAGCTGGGAGACAAAGGATTCCAAGGCAGAGGCGGCCACAGCAGCCCAGAGCTGGGAGACGAACGTAAAGGATTGCAAGGCAGAGACGGACACAGCAGTACAGAGCGGGCGGACACATCTTAAGAAAGAATTGAGAAACCCTAACAGCAAACCTTTTGGGGAATTATTCTTCAAGTGCGAACATGATGCTGGTCATGCTGCTCAATCAGCAAGGAGCTGACCACGTGAGGACAAGAAATAGAAGCATGAGGAGGGAAGGATGTGACATGAAATTGATTTTTGGCGCCTGACGCATGCCCTCCGTCCCAACTGAACAGAGAGGACATCAGCCTGGGAGACACATGAATAGAAATGCTGCATGACCAACGGACAAGGGCGGACACCAGCAGTGACAGACCTGGGAAATGAATCGAAATGCTGCATGGCCAGCGGAAAAGAGAGGACACTGGCAGTGACAGACCTGGGAGACAAATGAATAGAAATGCTACATGGCCAACGGAAAAGGGCGGACACCAGCAGTGACAGACCTGGGAGACAAATCAATAGAAACAGCAGAACAGGGCGGACACCACCAGTGGACAAATGAATAGAAATGCTGCGTGGCCAGCGGAAAAGGGCGGACACCACCATTGACAGACCTGGGAGACAAATGAATAGAATGCTGCATTGCCTGCAGAAAAGGGCGGACACCAGGCCAACGGAAGAGGGCGGACACCACCAATGACAGACCTGGGAGACAAATGAATAGAAATGCTACATGGCCAGCGGAAAAGGGCGGACACCAGCAGTAACAGACCTGGGAGACAAACGAATAGAAATGCTACGTGGCCAGCGGAAAAGGGCGGACACCAGCAGTGACAGATTTTTGGGAGACACATGAATAGAAATGCTACATGGCCAGTGGAAATGGGCGGACACCAGCAGTGACACAAAGGGCGGACACATCTTAAGTGGGAGACAAATGAAAGGACATGGGAGACAAGCCGGCCGGGAACCCGACCACAAGCACCGAGGCTGGGAGACAATGAAAGGAAGTGGGAGACAAGCCAGCCGGGAACCCGACCACAAGCACCCAGGCTGGGAGACAAATGAGAAGGGAGACAAATGAAAGGAAGTGGGAGACAAGCCGGCCGGGAACCCGACCACAAGCACCCAACCTGGGAGACAATGAAAAGAAGTGGGAGACAAATGAAAAGAAGTGGGAGACAAATGAAA